TGATAGTACCAGTTCACTCCATCCTGGATGACAGAGCAAGATGCTGTCTCTAAAGTAAACATATAAGTGAATGAATAAAAATTAAAAATAAAAATGCAGCCAGGCATAGTGGTTATGCCTGTAATTCTGGCACTTTGGGAGGCCGAGATGGGAGGATTGCTTGAGCCCAAGAGTTCAAGACCAGCCTGGGCAGGATGGTGAGACCCTATCTCTACAAAAAGTTTAAAAATTAGGCTGGGCACCATGACTCATGCCTGTAATCCCAGCACTTTGCAAGGGCAAGGCAGGTGGACCACCTGGTCAGGGGTTTAAGACCAGCCTGGGCAACAAGGTGAAACTTTGTCCGTACTGAAAATACAAAAATTAGCTGGGCATGGTGGCATGCGCCTGTAGTCCCAGCTACTCAGGAGGCTAAGGCAGGGAATGGCTTGAACCTGGGAGGCAGAGGTTGCAGTGAACCGAGATGGTGCCACTGCACTCCAGCCTGGGCAACAGAGCAAGACTCCACCTCAAAAAATTAAAAATTAAAAAATTAGCTGGGCACTGTGGCACATGCCTGTAATCCCAGCTACTTGGGAGGCTAAGGGGGGAGGATCCCTTAAGCCTAGGAATTCAAGGTGGCAGTGAGTTATGATCACATAGCCACACTCCAGCCTGGGTGATAAAGTCAGATTCTGTTTCTAAAAAATAAATAAGTCATAAAATAAATAAAACATTTTAAAAGCAAAAATTACTACCAATCTTACAGATACAAAAAGGATTATAAAAGAACACTATGAAAAATTGTATAACAACAAATTAGATAACCTAGACTAAATGAACAAATGCCTAGAAACCAAAACTTACTCAAGAAGAAACAGAAAACCTAAATAGACCTCAAATACGATTGAATCAGTCATCAAAAAACTTCTAATAAAGAAATGATTAGGAGCAAATAAAGAATAAACACCAGTCCTCAAGCTCTTCCAAAAAGTAGAGAAGAACATACATCATAACCCATTCTCTCACGGGAGTATTACCCTAAAACTAAAGCCAGACGATATCTCACAAGAAAAGAGATTTACAGACCAATATCCCTTATGAATATTGATGCAAATATCCTCAGCAAAGTACTAGCAAATCAAATACAGCAGCATATTAAAAAGATTATATGGGGCGTGGTGGCTCACACCTGCAATCGCAGCACTTTGGAAGGCCAATGCAGGTAGATCACTTGAGGTCAGAAGTTTGAGATCAGCCTGTCCAACATGGTGAAACCCCATGTCCACTAAAAATACAAAAATTAGATGGGCCTGGTGGTGTGCGCCTGTAACCCAAGCTACTTGGGAGGTTGAGGCAAGAGAATCACTTGAACCCAGGAGGCGGAGGTTGCAATGAGCTGAGATGATGCCACTGCACTCCAGCCTGGGTGACACAATGAGACTGTCTCCAAAAAAAAAAGAAAATCAATGTACAGTGGTCCCTTAATGTTCATGGGGGACTGGTTCCAGGACCCCTCTTGGATACCAAAATGTAAGGATGCGCAGGTCTCTTCTATAAAATGGTGTAGTAGGCCAGGTGCTGTGGCTCATGCCTATAATCCCAGCACTTTGGGAGGCTGAGGTGAGAGGATCACTTAAGAGGTTTGAGACAAGCCTGAGCAACATAGTGACAGCTTGTCTCTGCAAATAATATAAGATGGTATAGTATCGGCATATAACACATGCACATTCTCCAGTGTACTTTAAATAATCTCTAGATCATTTATAATAACTAATGCAATGTAAATGCTATGTAAATAAGTGTTATACTTTTTTTTTTTTTGAGATGGAGTGTCACCCTGTTGCCCAGGCTGAAGTGCAATGATCTTGGCTCTCTGCAACCTCTGCCTCCCGAGTTCAAGCGATTCTCCTGTCTCAGCCTCCCAAGCAGCTATAATTACATGTGTGTGCCACCATACCCAGCTAAGTTTTTGTATCTTTAGTAGAGAAGGGGTTTCACCATTTTGGCCAGGCTGGTCTGGAACTCCTGACCTTAGGTGATCCACCCGTCTTGGCCTCTCAAAGTACTAAGATTACAGGTGTGAGTCACTGCCCCTGGCCTATAGTGTATTATTTAGGGAATAATGATAAAGAAAAAAAACTGTACTTGTTTAATACAGACATAACCACCCATTTTTTTCAAATACTTTTTAAACTTTATTATTTTTTTAGATGGAATCTCATTCTGTCACCGAGGCTGGAGTGCAGTGGTGCAATCACAGCTCACTGCAGCCTCAAACTCCTGGGCTTGAATGATCTTCCCACCTCAGCCTCCCCAGTAGCTGGAACTACAGGCGTGCACCACTATGCTGGAATAATTTTTTTATTTTTAGTAGAGACAAAGTATCTCTATGTTGCCCAAGCTGGTCTTAAACACCTGAGCTCAAACAATCCTCCCACCTCAGCCTCCCCAAATGCTGGGACGACACGTACAAACCACTGCACCTGGCAAATGACGGCATGATCTTCTATGTAGAAAGCCCTAAAGAATCCACACCAAAACTATTACAGCTAGTAAATAAACTCAGCAAAGTTGCAGGACACAAGATTAATATACAAAAATCAGCTGTATTTCTATACATTAGAAATAAACAATCTGAAAATAAAATGAAGAAAATAATTCCATTTACAAAATGGAACTTTAGTCTTAGCAAAAAGAATAAAAGACTTAGAAATATTTTTAACCAAGGAAATGCAAGACTTGTACACTGAAGACCCTACAACAGTGGGGAATGAAGCTAAAGAAGACCTAAAGAAATGAAAAAGCATCCTATGTTCATGGATTGGAAGACACGATATTGTAAAGATGACTAAGTGATCTGCAGACTCACTGTAATCCCCATCAAATCCCAACTGCGGTTTTTGCAGAAATGAGCAAAGTGATCCTAAAATTCATATGGAATTACAAGGAACCCCAAATAGCTAAAACTGTCTTGAAAAAGAACAAAGATGGAGAACTCACACTTCTTTGGTTTTGAAATTTCTGCCTTAGCTACTTAATTAAACCCGTGCCATACTGAAGTGCCATATAGCTCAACAGAATAGAATTGACAGTCCAGAATAAACCCGTATATGTATTAGCAATTGATTTTCAACATGTATGCCAGTCAGTAGGAAAGAATAAGCTTTTCAACAAATATACATGGACACCTGGATAGCTACATGCAAAAGAAGGAAGTTGGGCCTTTACCTCAAATGATATATAAAAATTAACTCAAAATAGGTCAAATTCCTAAATGTAAGAGCTAGAAGAAAACATAGGGGTAAGTCTTCATGACCTTGGATTTGACAGGGTCAAAATTCATCAAAATTAAAATTTTAATTTTTTTTTTTGAGATGGAGTCTCACTCTGTTGCCCAGGCTTGAGTGCAGTGGTGGGATCTCGGCTCACTGCAACCTCTACCTCCCAGGTTCAAGTGATTCTCCTGCCTCAGCCTCCTGAGTAGCTGGGATTACAGGTGCCCACCACCATGCCCAGCTAATTTTTTATATTTTTAGTAGAGACAGTGTTTCACCATGTTAGCCAGGTTGGTCTCAAACTCCTGACCTCGTGACCCACCCACCTCAGCTTCCCAAAGTGCTTAGATTACAGGTGTGAGCCACCGTGCCTGGCCTCTGCTGTAGTTTTATTTGCTAAGTCTGGTAGCTCCAGCATGGGTGAAGGATGGAGCTGTGGGAGCCCAGCTAGCCTGCATCTAAGGCAGGGTAAGGCAGCTAAGGCAGCCTGCTGTCAGCCCACTGACCTGACAGACAGTGGCCAATGTGGCTTACTCCTCATCCCACCTGCCCTTGTGCCATCCTCCCCCACATCCATCCACTGCAACAGATAGATGACCCATCCTCTTCCCAGGGGTTGTTTGGATGATTAGATGTGATTTCTAAAGAGCGCTTAATGCACTGCCTGACGCTTGGTAAGTGGTCAAGATGGGGAGAAATGACTGTTTCTACTATTCTTTCCCTTCCACAGTGGCCACCGCAGCGCTAAGCATGGTCGGCGTTCAGTGCTGCCGGTGGAGGCGGACGGCAGGAGTATCCCGGAGCAGTGGGGAGACACTGCGCTCACCTAGATCGGGCAGCCTACTGTGACTCGGGCAAGTCATTTCCCTTCTCTATGCCTCAGTTTCTTTGAAAAATGAGCAGCTGGGGCTGGGTGCGGTGCCTCATGCCTGTAATCCCAGCACTTTGGGAGGCTGAGGCGGGTGGATCACCTGAGGTCAGGAGTTCTATCGAGACCATCCTGGCCAATATGGTGAAACCCCATCTCTACTAGAAATACAAAAATTAGCCGGACATGGTGGCAGGCACCTGTAATCCCAACTAACTTGGGAGGCTGAGGCAGGAGAATCACTTGAACCCGGGAGGCGGCGGTTGCAGTGAGCTGAGATCCTGCCATTGCACTCCAGCTTGGCTGACAAAAGTGAGACTGAGTCTTAAAAAAAACAAAAACGAGGCCGGGGCAGTGGCTCACGTCTGCAATCCCAGCACTCTGGAAGGCCGAGGTGGGGGATCACCTGAAGTCAGGAGTTCAAGACCAGCCTGACCAACATGGAGAAACCCTGTCTCTACTAAAATTACAAAATTATTGGGAGTGGTGGCACATGCCTGTAATCCCAGCTACTCAGGAGGCTGAGGCAGGAGAATTGCTTGAACCTGGGAGGCGGAGGTTACAGTGAGACGAGATCGCGCCATTGCACTCCAGCCTGGGCAACAAGAGTGAAACTCTGACTCAAAAAAAATAAATAAATAAAGGAGCAGCTGGGTGAGAAGCTGCTCAGATTCCTTCACAGCAGGCCAAACTCAACATGCCCATTTGAGATGAAGACCCTGAAATACTGACGGGGTGTGACCCTTTGACAGCATGCAAGTCCCACAGAGTTGTCGAGGAGAAGCCTGACCTTTCCGATACTCACCTGCCATAAGCCTCAGTTCCGAGCTGGTGGGGTGGGGGTGGGTGGAGGGTGGATAGGGTCAGTGCCTCACCTGGCTGGCTTCAGCCTGGCGGAGTCTGTGAGGGACCGGGCAGCACAGTGACTCCTCTTGCCTCGTGTCTCTAGCTGGGCCGGCTCTGGTCTATTTCATGCTATTCCGTTGTCATGGGCAGGACTGAATTTGATGAAGTTGGACTTAGGTGTATCCCAGCCTCTCCTGCCTTCCCTGGCTCCTGTTGTCTTTCTGTGGTGCCCAGGCTTATGTGTCCATCTCTTTGAATGTTGGGTCTACTCCACCCTTCAGGGATCAGGACTGCCTGAGCTCAGGGTGGAGGTGCTGTCGTCTGTCTGGCTTCTGGGCCCTGGACTGGCAATATCCCTCCAACTATGCCAAGCCCCCTTCTTTTCTTTCTTGGCCTCTGCCTTGTTTGTTCTGTGATTGGCCCAAGAGATGGGTGTGGGCTGGCAGGTGTTCGTCAAAGAGCCTGGAGGCAGCATTCAGGCCTGGCTGACTCACCCCACGGCCCCCTGCCCACTGCCCCCAGCCAAGCTGGGTCTTCTTTCTGCCTGGCTGAGGCAGAGCCTGGAAGGGCATCATGGCAGGCCCTTTGTGATGCTCCTGTTGCCATGGTGATCCTAGGTGAGAGGGCCATAGCATTCTGTGTTTGGCACCTCCACCCATCCCCCCAGCCCTGCTCTGCTACCCCCCAGATGGCTCTCTGCTGGGGGGCTCAAGAGCATGGAATCTGCTGTAGCCAAAATCTCTTCCATGAGGCCAGGCACAGTGGCTCATGCCTATAATCCTAGCACTTTGGGAAGCCAAGGCAGGTGGATCACTTGAGGTCAGGAGTTCAAGACCAGCCTGGCCAACATGGTGAAACCCTGTCTCTAAATATGAAAATTAGCTGGAAATCACTTGAACCAAGGAGGTGGAAGTTGCAGTGAGCCAAGATCCTCCCACTGCACTCCAGCCTGGGCAACAGAGCAAGACTCCGTCTCAAAAAAAAATTCTATGCAGGCCCCATCCCTTGGACCTCCCTTCAACCCCAACAGAGACCACTACCCTAGCAGGTAGACTCTACGTCTCAGAAACTGACCTCTACTGTAGAGCTGATAGTGGGAAAGGGCCCAGGACCCAAAATCAAAAGACCTAGATTCCAGTCTCAAGCCATTTATAGCTGTGTGACCTTGGACAAGGCAGGTCTTGAGCTTCAGCATCCTCCTCGGTAATTGTGGATAAACATGCCGTACATAACCATGCTTCAGTAATACCTCTATGACTATCCATGGGTTGTTCCCCTGATATGTAACGTTCTTCTCAGCTCCCTGAACTCCTACTCACACTTCAAGACTCAACTCAAATGCCCCCTTGTCTGTAAAAATTTCCCTGACCTCTGTGCATTTGGCACAGATCTTAGGCCTTGCCATTCTGTGTTAAAGTTATTTGTTTCCATAATTTTTTACGATGAGTACGTAGAGGCAGGAATCAGATTAGGCTCAGTTCTGGAAGGAGAAATGGCTTAGCAAATGATGTCTTTGCAGAATGGAAAGCAGAAGAGGATGACCTTGACTGGGTTGGGTGCCATCTCTGCAGGAGTCAGCCCTGGGCCCTCCGTCCAAGTCAGTCCTTGGGTCAGCCAGCACTCATGTGCCTGAGCCATGCCTGGCTAGCTGGGGCATTTTCATGGCTGAGACCCAGTAGGAGAGACCCTGACTTGGTGCCAGGGTGTGCCTGTCTCAGCTCTGGGGCAGGGCCAGGAGCGGCTTCAGTAATACCTCTGAAGGTATCGTGTATCATGGGATGTCTCCACATGCTGGGGCCTCTGGGAGGGGAAGGGAGACTGGGTATGCTCTGTCAATGGTTCTGGTGGGACTTCTGGGATATTGCCAAGGGGACCATGGTTCAGGGAACAGGGAGGAAGGGCTCCAGTGTCTCCAACTCCCTCTCATGGCTCTATGGGTGCTGGTTGGGATCAGGGAGATGAAGGAGTGCCAGCTCCCTGGTCTACACTGATCCTGACCAGTAAACCAGGCTTCCCCAGCCAGAGCCAGCTAGTCGAGCAGGCCCTCTAGTGGCCACCACAGGGAAGGCAAAAACTTGTCTCCACAAAGGTAGGATTTTTATTTATTTCTCCGGAGAGTACAGAATGAGCATCAGTGTTCCAGGCATGGTGCCAGGCACGTGTTTTAACTATAGTTAAAACATAGTTATTGGCCGAGTGTGGTGGCTCACATATGTAATCCCAGCACCCTGGCTTAGGTGGGAGGATTGCTTGAACCTAGAGTTTGAGACCAGCCTGGGTAATGTAGTGAGACCTTGTCTCTACCAAAAAAAAAAAAAAAATTTCTGAGTGTGATGACATGTGCCTGTAGTCCCAGTGACTTGGGAGACTGAGGTGAGAGGATTGCTTGAGCCTGGGAAGTGGAGGTTGCAATGAGCCAAAATCACACCATTGCACTTCAGCCTGAGTGACCTTGTCTCAAAACTATATATATATATATACACATACATATGTTTATTCATATAAATACATTTGTAACATTATAGACATATTAACACATTAACATTTACTTATATAATATATATTTATCTATTAGTCATTTTCTAAGTGGAAAGTTCTCTCTTGAGTCTCAGAATGTACTGGTGGGGAAGAGGGAATACAGGGTAGGGAATTAATCCCTTACAGCAGTGACTCAGCCCAGGTTGTAAAATTAGAATCACCTGGAGAACCTGAACAACCTCAACACCTGGGGTCCATCCAGACCCATCCAATCAGAATTCGTAGGAGTCAGGCACAGACACCAGTGGTTTGCACCAAGAAAAGTTAATGGGCGGCCGGGCGCGGTGGCTCACCACCGCTGTAATCCCAGCACTTTGAGAGGCCGAGGTGGGTGGATCACGAGGTCAAGAGATCGAGACCGTCCTGGTCAACATGGTGAAACCCCGTCTCTACTAAAAAATACAAAAAATTAGCTGGGCATGGTGGCACATGCTTGTAATCCCAGCTCCTCAGGAGGCTGAGGCAGGAGAATTGCCTGAACCCAGGAGGCGGAGGTTGTGGTGAGCCGAGATCGCGCCATTGCATTCCAGCCTGGGTAACAAGGGCGAAACTCTGTCTCAAAAAAAAAAAAAAGAAAAGAAAAGAAAAGTTAATGGGCTGCCAGGCATGAAAGCCATTGGTTTGGAGAGTTGACAGACACATCTCGTCCTTCATTCTCACTCAGCTGCCAACATGGGCATCATTGTGCCTCCCACTTTGCATATGAGGAGACTGAGGCTGAAGTGAACTCACTTCTTTCCCCATTTCAGTTGAGGAGGGCAATGGGGCAGTGAGGAGGAAGTAAATACTCCTCCGAGGCTGTCTCTAAAGAGATTCTTATAATAACAACAGCTTTATTGTTTGCCATGATTAGAAAAGTAGTCAAGATCATTGTGAAATAGTGTTTTTTTCTAGGCAGATAATTATATAAAGGCCAAAGTTGTGTGTGGTTGGGGGGACAAGGGGAGGGAGAGCATTAGGACAAATACCTAATGCATGCGGGGCTTAAAACCTAGATGATGGGTTAATAAGTGCAGCAAACCACCATGGCACATGTATACCGATGTAACAAACCTGCACGTTCTGCACATGTATCCCAGAACTTAAAAAAAAAGGTGCGTACAAAAATCACCTGCAATCTCAGCATAGTTAATGCCTAGTACATTTCAGAGAGAGGGTGACAGGAAAGGGAGGATGAGAGTGGGTTTAATTTAAGGCGCAGGTCATATTAGAAAGCAGGGCTTCTGGAAGTGTGGTTCGAAGTGCGGAATTATGACACACATCATAATTCCCTGCAGTGCTTGATTAAAATGCAGCATCCCTAAGGTCACAGACTCAGATTCTGGAGAAAGATTAAAAAAAATAAAAACAGGCCGGGGGTGGTGGCTCACGCCTGTAATCCTAGCACTTTGGGAGGCTGAAGCGGGTGAATCACGAGGTCAGGAATTCGAGACCAACCTGGCCAACATGGTGAAACCCCGTCTCTACTAAAAATACAAATAAATAAATAACTGGGCGTGGTGACGGATGCCTGTAATCCTAGCTACTTGGGAGGCTGAGGCAGGAGAATCGCTTGAACCCAGAAGGTGGAGGTTGCAGTGAGCCGAGATCATGCCACTGCACTCCAGCCTGGGCGACAGAGCAAGACTCTGTCTGGGGGGGGAAAAAAACTGCACCTTTAATAAACCTTATGGCCACTAAAGACCAAGTACCAGTGCTGCCTGGAGCTCTGCTGTCTTCATTGAACAGTACAAGAGGAGGGTGTAGTGACACCCGTCACTCTCAACAGCTTAGGAGGGCCCTTGAGTATAGATTGATGTATTCAAATTGAATCATATGCTGAGATTTTCACCAGCTGCCCTTGGGGATCCGGGCACATATTCCCATATTGCACTGGCTGGCTGGAGGCCGGCAGCATAAACTCCAAGGCTTCTCTGTCAACCCCCACCAGACTCACCCCCTACACGAGCCCCAGCGGGCTACTCCTTCCATCTCTCTGAGGCAATCTACTAATGGGCCCTGCGTACCAATCAGAGCCAGAATAACACATGATGTCACCAGCAGCCAGTCAGAGCTCCACACCAGAATATGCAGAATTCTATCATTCTACTAGGATGGTGAGATTCCCAAGCAACACCATAGGATGGTGAGATTCCCAAGCAACACCATCCTTTTCAGATAACGGCACTGAGGCTGAGAGAGGAGCTGAAACCCACCCAGGGTCACAACACGCAGGTGGCAAGGCTGGGACTGGAAACCAGGACTTCTGACTGCAGCCCAGTATTCATTCTTTGCACAGCTCACAGGGCTGTCACAGACCCCAAGGCCTGGGCAGAGGCTCCCCTTCCCTGGAGAGTCAAGGCACTCCAGGGAGGAGTCAGAGCACTCCAGGGAGGAGCTGAGGCTCAGAACAGCCCCCCGACTCCCTCAGGGGTCAGAATACTGGTGGAGCAGAACCCTCAATCTCTGGATTTTAGGGCCATGGTAGAGGGAGTGTTGCCCAAAATTCCAGTCCTGGTCTCAGCCCAATGCCCCCCAAATAGAAATTAGAGGGGCCCTGGCCAGGCTGTGCTGGCCATTGCTTCTGAGCAGATTACAAGGAGGGACCAAGACAAGGGCTCCTTTGTAGAGGCTTTGGCTTAGGGAGTCAAGTGACAGCTCAGCCCTCACGTGGGCAGCGCCAGCCTCTAAATGTGGGCAGGGGCACTGGCCACAGAGTCCCAGGGAGTCCCACCAGCCTAGTGGCCAGATCTTCTGTGGGATCACCGGACCAGCCTGGAACCCACCTGTGAGTAGAAGGTACCCCAGGTGGACTGGGCTGGGGCTTTGAGGAGTTCAGGGCCTTGCGTATGTGTGTGGGATGTGCACACACAGGCAGCACATGCGTGAGTGTGTGGGCACTTGTGTGTCTGTGCAAAGGCCCTGAGGTGGGAATGAACTTGGTGTGCATTAGGCACAGCCAGCCAGTGTGGCTGCAGCCAAAACACATGGGGAAAGAATGGAGGGGACATCAATCACCGCTTCAGTAAACGTTCATCGAGCGCCCTCTATGAGAACACA